ATATATATATATATATATATATATATATATATATATATATATATATATATATATATATATATATATATATATATATATATATATACAAAGTTGGCAAATTTGTGTGAGTGTTAGTATTATTGTCAGTAGTGGCATTAGGCGTCTTTTTCAGTTGAAGGTATAGGGCAACATGACTGCCTCGTGTGAACGAAAACGAACAATGACAAATGTATGTTTTACAAGCGATCGAACGAATGAATGGTTTGGAGTGAATTCCCTGAGGTAATGAGGGTACTTAACCTGTGGGTTGACAGAGATGTACTCGAACATTTACAGCAACTGAAAAAAGATCCAGATTCTACGTTTGTCGATTCATTGGTGGAATTACATCAAAACACTGAAAGCCACGAATTACAGTGTATGCTGAACAAATTGTCCCATTGAAACTAAAAGATCCACTCGAGTTGGTAGCTGAAACATTTTTTCTTACCCAACTAGTTACATGTATTCTGTGAAGGCGACGGGTGAACGAGGCAGGTCATAAGAAAGCTTATCAAGAACTCTTGGAGAAATTACTTTTAGAACAGTTGTAATATATTTTGCAATAAAAAATAAATATGTGTTTTTATCAAATATGCGGTCGTTATATACGTTGCTATTTGCTGCCAGTCATTAATTAGCGACGCTTGGGTGCATGCATATATTAGTGTACAACATATTTGTACACTAATCAGTCGGGCGGGTTAGGCAGATCGCGCGGGCGGGAAAGAGCGTGTTTTTCCAGGCAAAAGTTTGCACAAGATTTCAGTTTTAAAATACATTTATCTCTTCAAAACGTTTTACAAACTTATGCTTCCAATACATATATCGTCACTTGTTTGAGAAGTTTCGTTATCCGATCCGTCGTCGTGGTCGCTTTCATCATCATGTTGCTTTCATCTAACGTAATCCATTTGGTACGTCTTGGGACTGCTATATGAGAACACAGTTTTAGCATCTTTGTAGTTGATAAATTACTGCGTTGGCCTTGTTCTGTATTTGTATTCGATTTTGTTCTTTTCTGGAAGACTGTGGTTGACGGATGGGTATATTCTTTATCCCGCTTTTATTCCACTTTGACTGCTTTTTACTGTTCCCAATTAATCTGTACATCTCTGCTAAAACAAGTATAAGTCCAAAGCTGTTGGCTTAGCACGAACAAGATAAGGTTATCTTTCTTTGGAAGAAAGTTCATGGACGTCTGCTAAATGGTTTGCCAATCTTTTTAAAGCTCGCTTGCCGCAGATGGGACAATCTTAACACTTCGGAGGTATAATGTCAAATGATATATGTCAACTGATTTCCTAAAATTAAATAGTTGTGGTCCCAAAGGCCTTTTTGAAGGTTTGCCGAGACTTGGGACAGGGTTAAAGAAATGGGTTAGTGGAAAATAGCTTCCACACAGAATCATATTTTATTTTTATTTTTTTTGATAAACCAAACACAAACAACCATTAAGAGTCAATGTCACTAGGATACCATGTGTTTCTAAAACGTCTTTTCAAAAGAAATTTTTTCTTATCAATTGCGGCCTCTAACGCTTCCCTGTGTCGAAAATTCGAAAATATCATCGTTGACGAAGACATCCCTGGTTTTCATAATCTTTTGTGTATTGGATCCCTCTTTAGATGTCTTATTCATAGTAGACGTTCCAGATAAATATATATTCTGCAAATCTTTACGAAGTTTTGGTAGGATAAGTAAGTATGCCTTGTCTTTAGCTTCGTTTTCGTCAAAACCTTCTGCAGTGAAATTCTGCATTAGTTCTTTGAATTCGGATAAACTTTTTTGGGCTGCTTCAGCTTTTAAGGAAATCCATGGATCGCTTTCGTATTCATCACCTACTTCACTACTAGTAGCTTCTACATTATCAGAATCACTTTCTGAATCAGTTTCCACTTCGTTGTCAGTGTTATACAAATTCTCAACATCACTCTTTGATGTAGCACTATTAGAGTCTGCAGCCGTTCTCATTGTTTTCATCTTTAAACTGAAATCTGTAGTTGATTTCCAACAGTGGTCCAAGTATGGACCCTTGAGGTATACCGCAAACAATTTCCAGTGGGTGGGAAAAGTGATCGTTTACCCGACAATATTTCTTTCTGTTCGATAAGTAAGACCTGAACCAATTAAGAGCAATTCCTTTTATCCCATAAAGATGTAATTTATGTAGTAGTATTTCATGACCTACAGTATCGAATGCTTTCTTAAGATCAAGAAATACAACCCCATTTAATTGGCCGATATCAATATTATGAAACCATTTGTTCGGAATTTCCAACATTGCAGTAACTGTGGAATCTTTAGGTTTAGAACCATGTTGAGAATTTGTAAGCATGTCATTTTTTATAAAATATTCATGGTGTTGATTATAGACCATTAACTTTTCCATTGTTTTTGCAATAATAGAAATGACAGATATCGGTCTGTATGTATTTGGTTTATGTCTTTCCTCAGTCCAGTCTTATAAACAGGTGTAACTTAGCTTTTGAGATTCTCCATTCGCATGGAAATGTTCCAGACACGATGGATTTGTTAAATATTACGATCATTGCATGTGTTATTAAAGGAGCTGATAACTTTACTGGATTAATAGATAGACTGTCCATACCAGTTGCTTTATTGGTTCACACTTTAGTAAGAGTGTGAGTACCTCTTCTTAAGTTATTTCTCGAAAAGTGAATATTTTGTCCACACTGTTAATGTGATACTCAGGTGGATAATTAGTTTTAGGAATTAGTTGAGCCAGGTTACTACCAATATTAATAAAATGTTCGTTAAATGCATTAGCCATATCTTCGAATTTAATATCTTGCTCGTTGGTATCTTTAATAAGCACTATTTCATTAGATTTAGGATTTTTGTTCAGACATTGATTTATGCGTTTCCAAGTTTTCTTCAAATTTCCTTTTGTTATTTTGAATATCGTTAGAAAAATGTTTTTGTTGTATTCTTGATGAGTTTGTTATAATTGGTCCTGGTATGTTTGTAATTTTCCCAACAGTTCAAATTACCAGTTTTGCTGGCCTGCTGCTTTAATTAATTAAATAATTCTTATGCCTTTTTTCATGTAAAACTTGTTCTGTAATCCAAGGATTAGATTTATTTCGTACCTTACGTCTTTTTATTGGAGCATGTTTGTCACAAATTTTCGTAAAATGTTCTTTACAAACAAGACACATTTCTTTTGCCCTTGCGTATTGGTGAAGGTTCACTTGCGTTTTGGTGAAGGTTTTATGTGCCAATTGATCTTATGTCGTCTAAAAATGCACGTTCGTTCAAATTTTTAAGATCTCGAAATTCTATTATTCTTGTATTTACTTTCAAAGATATATTCAAAATAATACTCTCCTTGTCTTCTAAGTCAATATACTGTAAGAGCTTCTCAAATTCTTGAAATTTTTTAATTGGTGTGTTTGGCGGTCTGTACCAGGTAGCACATTACCAGAAATTTTATTCATTTTGCTCCCGCGGTCCTCTTGGTCTGTGGATATGTTCACTTACTATTGAGCATGCGCTATGGCGACATTGTTTGAGAAGCTGCAATGCACTGTTGTCCAACATAGGAGAGAGGAGATTCTGTGATTTTGAGTTGAAATTCTAGGGAATTCCTTTCGAAACCCAGTAAAATACAGTCAGGCATTTTCTTCAAGGAATACAAGTCATTTTTAATACAAATTTGATTTTGGCGCTATTCCGCTCATGAAAGAGTATGCAAATTTTGTAAACAGCGCAAATAAGCGAATTAAAAGGCTTGGTTGCTAAGCTAAAGTAAATATGGCGGCTTTAAGCTTCTCTGGAAAACAAATCGTGAATAATGGTCTTTCTTCCGCGCTCGGAACGGGATATTTACAAGCTAAGATAATGTTCAAAAATGCCATTTTTCAGTGCAATTTTGCGGCTTCCTGTTTTATTATGGAAGAATCTTTCTAAGCTAATGCATAAAAAAGATCGTAAAATGAAGAAACTTGTGAGGGGTTAGCCTGTGCGCTGACTATATAATGACATATATATATAGTCTGCGAATCCGTGGCATGAAGCTTGTATGGTCACGTGAATTTTCCGAGAGAAGTTGGGACGAATGGTGATTGGTTGAACTATAATTACGCAAAATTAATGTTAATTCATCAGACATTGCGTTCGCAAAGCGCGTTTAGCTGTTCAAAATTGACCGTTTCCAGGGTCAAATGACAATGACAACCTGCAATTACTAATATATTTAATGCATCCTTCCGTGAATGTAAGGTGCCAAGGGTATGGAAAATAGCAGATGTGCCACCTGTTCCCAAAGCCAAAAACATTACTGATTTTAACAAGGACTTGAGGCCAATATCCTTAACTTCAACATTGTCAACAATTGCAGAAAACCTCATCATCGAGTATGAATTAAAATCTAAACTACTAAGAAAGATGGATCCAATTAATGCAATTTGGCATTATCCTAGGATCAAACACGACTCTTTTGCGCTAATTTCAATGATGCATACCTGGCTAGATGCACTTGATGGGACGGGCTCTACAGTAAGAGTCGCTCTACTTGATTATCGCAAAGCCTTCGACCTAGTCGACCACAATCTACTTGTTGCAAAACTATCCAATTATGTAATAAAGCCAACGGTTGTAAATTGGATAGCTGACTTTCTTCGTGGTCGAACTCAGAGAGTTAAAATAAACTCTGTGCATTCAAATTTTTTACAAGTTCCTGCCGGTATTCCACATGGAACGAAAATCGGTCCCTGGCTATTCCTAGCAATAATAAATGACCTATGTATTACAAAATCTTCGTCTAGCAACTTGTGGAAATTTGCAGACGATACTTCAGTTTCCGAAGTTATTCCAAAAGATGGTGTTAGTTCCCTGCCAGATAAAGTAGACGAAGTAAATAAATGGTCGAATGACAACAAATTTCAACTGAACCCTGGTAAATGTAAAGAGCTGGGATAAACTTTACCAAGCAACCATTTAATGAGAAACACCTAAATATAAACGGGAAGCCATTTGAACTTGTAAAATCCGCAAAAGTTCTGGACATGATAGTTACCAATGATTTGAAATGGAACAGACATGTAAGCAATACCGTGGAAAAGGCTTCTAAGAGACTTAATTTATTAAGGCAATAGGCCTTTCCCCTTATAGCACTAGGCGCGCTAAGCATGACGGTAGGAGAATGCAATTTGCTTTCGAACGAAATGGCTGCCGTATGAGCGATCGAT